AGAAAAGAAAGAGACAAGAGATACTAAGAAAGGGAATGAATGCCACACTCTCCAAGGCAAACATGACAACCCAACAGGGCTCTTTGTGCTTTTTCCAGGCCGGCTTGCCTGAGCCGACATCCACATGTCAAGTGTCTGTCTTCATTACATTCTTTCGGAAAAGGGGACAATAGCCACGACACAAGACTTCTGCACTGGATTCGGACAAATCCACTGTGTTTATGACAGACACGCCGGCTGGAGAGGTGGAAATGTGCCATCAAGAGAAACAGCTTTCAGACAGATCCAAGGACCTCCTCACAGCAAACTAAACAACCTCTAATTGTTTGGAAAGGTCTGGCGGATCTCCAGAACAACGTTTGTCTTGTCAACTGCACCATTCTCCTTTAAAGACATGCTTTACAGTCCAAACAAAGATTATTCAGACACTATTTTTGATGTTTGTTTACTAGTGTGTCCAGGACACTGTAGCTCATTTATATAAGTGAGGAAAGCAAAATAAAAGTAAACTGTTTTTCAGAATCGATCCAGTACCAAAAATTATGAGCATCGACCAGTGTTTTTTAATTACTAAGTAATTAGTTACTGTAATTTAATTACTTTTCCCTTGAAAATGTAAAGTAAGGGATTACTCTTCATTTATCTGTAATTAAATTACAGTTACTTCTGATGTAATTGAGGTAAATACTGTGTATAGATCAATCCGACCCCTCAGAGGTGTCTAAATTGTACGACCGCACTCGAACAAATTCGTATGAATTATTGTAAAATATCTATGAAAAAAGTGTGAAATGTCATGAGATCAGACATAAAACAATAGTGGGTTTAACATCAAAATGTATTGTCTGATGCTAAAAAGTATGTTTTTATAATGTAACCTTCTCCACCTTGGTCTGTTTAAGGATAATTCGTGCAATTTTATAGTATTTACTTGAAAGAATTAAAACAGATTCGTGTCTATCCTTGTATTATTCAGCTGGTTGAGAATGATATGGGATTTTGAAAGTAATTAGTAATTAAATACTTTTTAAGGAGAGTAATTAGTACATTAATCTAATTACACTGTTGAAGAGGTGATTAGTAACTAGTAATTAATTACTTTTTTAGAGTAACTTACCCAACACTGGTATCGACCAATACCAGCGCAATATTTTAGGAACGTTTGCCTGTGGTTTAAAAACACCATAGAAAAACAACTACCCTACCTAAGATACATTTTAAAGCATTATTAAAGACAAGTAAACACCCAGTAATTAAAAAAAAGAACAAATCTAAACAATTAGATCGGCAATCTTCTGCTCATTTGCATTTAACCCCCTGAGCCCGACGGCGTCGTCGACGATGCCACACGTCACCTCCGATAAATGTTTACATAACTCGATGACAGATTTATCGATTTTCTTACCGTTTTTTCCAGCAGAAAGCTAACGAGCTAGCCATCACGGGGGTGTCTTTCGGGTCTTTCTAGCCTTTACAGAAGGTTTTCTATCCAGCCTGGAACTTGTGCTTCCTTTCAGAGGTTTTCAGCAATAAATCCAAACGCTTTATGTCAAACTTTGATAATCTTGAAGCCCATAATTCATAAATATTCGGTCATTTTTGCCGCTAGCTCGATGCTAGCGGACATCCTGGATATCACGTGATGTTTTCACGTGATGGTTTTTGACCAATTACAGGCTGATCCGTTGTAAACATTGGTGTGCGTCATTACGCATGAACCAAGCGCTGATATAGTGTAGAGAGATAGAGAGACTCACGGAGACGCGCGATTCACAGAGAAACACAGCGAAATGGACGTAAATAAAGCGCTGGTGCATTGCAGGATGAAGGATTTTCAGGAGAACAGAGCTTTTTGACAGATGAGGAACTAGATTACCAGGATAGACCCAGCTGAAGTGCCATTTATTTATTTACTGTAAAAAAGTAGTATAGTAGTATAAATGTATAAAAGAATAAAAAGAACATAATAAATAAAAGAATAAATAAAATAGAAATGCAAAACCTGTGATGTGGCCCTCTGTGTGATTGCTGATAGGAACTGTTTTGAGGCTTGGCACCAGTGAATTTCATGAGGCCCCAAACGCCTGGACTTCTTTTGGAAAAATGTCAATAGTTTTTGTTCTGTACAAGTTATAATGTTTATTCCTGTGCTCCAGGACTCCAAAGACATGAACAAACTATTTTCCAGAGGAAAATTGCTTAGCTTTTATTTATTTGTGTGTGATTTCAATAAATAATTGAGTGATTCCATTTCCGATTTATTTTTTCATTTGTCTTTATGGTCCCATAACTTATTTTACATTCAGGTGACATCAATGTAACACAAATATGCTGAAAGTTCAATTTGTCCTGAAAAAAAAGAGGTGTGTCAATTGTCTGTGCACCAAAGGGTTGATATTTTACAAGCTTTTTTAGTAAATGACACCAGACGGAAAATTTATTGTAAAAATACCCTTAGGTCTCAGAGGGTTAAAGGGACAGACACAAAAACGGCGTGTTTTTGCTCACACCCAAAAATTTCACAGACACATTCTGGGAACACCATTATATTACATCTTGTGAAAAGGGGCGTAATACGTCACCTTTAAAGTCGAAAGGAATCGAAATTTTTATTTTATAACTATCCGATTCCTGATCGAATTTCGATTGCCAACCCTGCCATGAACCCCCATTATTATCCGCTCTGGTTTTGAGGAGCTGTGACTGGTGGATCGAGGAGGGTTTGGGCATTTCCATCTCCTCATGCTGACAGCTCAGGAGGCGGCCGATCTTTGATCTGCACGGGTCTCTGTAAATACCGCAGTCCCAAAGGTCAGCATTTGGTAGTCAAATTACACAGCAAAGAGCCTTTAGGTGCAAATGAACATGACTTTAGTTCGACAGAACGCAACATTTTAGACGAGAATCACATACATATGCAGGAACAGTTCATGCTCCAGTGATGCAGAAAAACTAGCCAGCTGTGCAAGTTCATTTCTCTAAGCTGATGTGATTTATTCTGACTGCTAATATAATATATAACTAGGGATGCACTGATATGAAAATTATGGCTGATACCTTTATATTTGAGAGCCGATAACCGAATTGGCCTCTTTACGCTCGTCCTATTGCCTGTTAGGTGTCTATGGACTGTGTCGATTCAATGAACACTTGTCTCGAAAATCGAACGGGATTGCCCTAGGTTTGACCTCGCATGACATTTTCAGTCAAAGCGATTCTGCACGTTCGCAACAAAGACAAAATGTGTCCGGGTGTTCAAATAACAGAAATCAGCCAAATAGCACAGCGAGGCTGACTTGTGTGTTATTGACACTGCTAAAACAGAACCTGAATTGTCAGGTTAATTTGCCTGTAAATGCCTGCTAGCCTATAAAAAATAAAACTCGCCCCGGGGGATAGTTTGACAGCAACTTCCACAGCAAACAACACACACATATACTTCACAGGACTGAGGAGTGAAAAACAGAGAGAGGTTCAGCTTTATCAAACTGCAAATGTCTGGATTTGTTTGTTTACAGCACAAACACAAGCAGGCGGCTAATGTCTAGTCCTGACGCTTAACTCTGAACTGTCTGGCACGGGTCCTAGATGAGAAACACCAGTTTTTATTGCGTAATGAGGTCATTTCTGTCAGTCACCTGCAACAGCTCAAGCCGAGCTGGAATTAGCATCCGAGGAGCAAAACACAGCAGATATAAGTGTGTTTTCTCTAGCGTGCATTTCTCTAGATGGGTAACGAGCACAAAACAGGCTTGGTTATTTATATATACAAAATATACTATTGGAAATCCATGTTAAATGTTGTTGCGAGCTGACAGATTTGACTGAAATAATTATTGGAGGATGGGGGATCTAATTCATTCAATGTGCATACTACTAATTTGATTGAGATAACTAAATTATTAAATAAATAAGCTTTGTGATCAAACAGATCTATCAGTTTAAACCGGTCTTCATTAGGCCTGCATCTAAATAAAACCAAAAACGCAATATGACAAATATATAAAGGCACAATATGTGCTAATTTAGTATCACTAATATATGATTATAGTTTTATTAATATTATAAATTAAATTTTTTACTGTTTTTAAAATGGTAATTTAGATAACTAAATTATTTTAATTAACTAAATTATTAAATTAACTAAATCTAATTTAGATAATTAAATTATTAAATAAATAAGTTTTGTGATCAAACAGATCTATCAGTTTAAACCGGTCTTCATTAGGGCTGCATTTAATAAAACCAAAAACGCAATATGACAAATATATAATGGCACAATATGTGCTAATTTAGTATCACTAATATATGATTATAGTTTTATTAATATTATAAATTAATTTTTTTTTACTGTTTTTAAAACAGTAATTTAGATAACTAAATTATTTTAATTAACTAAATTATTAAATTATTAAATTAACTAAATCTAATTTAGATAGCTAAATTATTAAATAAATAAGTTTTGTGATCAAACAGATCTATCAGTTTAAACCGGTCTTCATTAGGGCTGCATTTAATAAAACCAAAAACGCAATAAGACAAATATATAAAGGCACAATATGTGCTAATTTAGTATCACTAATATATGATTATAGTTTTATTAATATTATAAATGACATTTTTTTCTGTTTTTATTTTTATTTAGGCTATAGGGGTTATAAGTGTTAGTAATTTTGTAATAATTTTAGTTTGTCACATATGTAAATATTGACAGCACAGTCTCATTACCGTCAGTACATTATATATTAGATTATCATTCCCTATCAATCGCCACTTACATTAAATGAATGCAGAATCACTCTCACGTTTTGGTTATTTCTTGTTATTGACGTTTTAATCAGGCTACTTGCCTTAAGTGTAAATGTCAATCCCTGATCCTGGAGCAAAATAAATCATAACTGCAATATTTGCCTCAATTACATTGTGTTCCCCCTAGTCTTCATTTGAACAGACGCGCACTTTCACACAACAGCGATGACGTGTGTAACGGATCATCTCACCGTCTTCCGTCTCCTGCCAGACGATGCCCTCCAGGTTGACGCTGGTTCCCGGTTCACAGGGACCCAGACACTCGGGCTCGGTGGCCAGGGCCACGTCAGAGGTGTTGACGGCCACGGAGCGCGTGCGGACCATGATCTGCTCGCACGAGGACGACACGTCGGCGCTGAGGACCGGCGCGAGGAGGTGCAGCGCTGGCGGTGCCGGCGTGGACACCGGAGACTCCATCTGTGGGACATTACAGAGAGGATCTTGTTAGATCACCACACCATCATCACCAGGGCTTATTGCTTTTAGAAAATATAAAATGGATAGTATGATTTACAGATATGAAAACCTTTTCACAATATTCTAATTTTGAATAAGATGTAAGCCATAATCACCACAATTATAACAAATAAAGGCCTGAAATATCTCACTTTGCATGTAATGAGTCTATATAATATTTTAGTTTCACCTTTTAAGTTGAATTATTGAAATAAATGAACTTTTGCATCATATTCTCATTCTGTATTATACAACATTTTATAAGATCCAAGATCTAGGTTTAATTCAAGTTTATAAAATGATGGCAGTATTAGGAAGTTTGTAGGCCTATGAAACAAAAAAGTTAGAAGTGAATCAGTGTTTCGTCAAAAAACGTTAATTTCAAATGAGGTAAAAGAAAAGGACATGTAACAATTCCAATAAGTGTAAACAGACAGCACTGAGAGCGTAAGCTGACATTACGCTTAATGGCAAACCTCGAAGTTCAATTATAGCAATTATAAACGGGCAAGGGTGAAGTGTGTGTGAACGGTGCTGAGGGTGTTGTGTGTGAGCCTGGGCTTATTTAACCTTAATGCCAAGAACCATTAGTGCGCTCTGTGATTATCACTCATGCCCAACCATGCTTCAAAATATGGGTTCATTTCGTGCCTTTCGATTTCAACACTAGACTCGCCGATTTGATAATCTAATTATGGGCTTTTGTTGAATTGAATTAAAGCTTGTTGGTGGGTGACAGAACTAAAAGCTAAAGCTTTGAGATAAATGTGCCAATTTCCTTCAAAACAGACATTAAACTACTCCACAGAAATTAGTTCATGCATCAACGTTCTCTTGGGTTCGTTTCGTTCGAGGATCAATGGGATCATCTGGGATCAGCGGTTCGGATGACATTCTGACAAAACTAATTTTGTTATAGACCAATCATGCAGCAGATCAGACCAATTACAAAACAGGATTTAGTTAAACTCAATGACGCTCGAAAACCTCAACGCAAACCGACAGACACCGACTTTAAGATATATTTTTCAGTCTCTCTTTTTTAATTCAACGTGTTACTTTACGTAGTTGGATCTTAGCAGGTAACATGAAATTTGAATATTCTTTTAAAAACATTTAATTGCTGTTTGGATATGCATCAATTCTGAAAAAAAAAAGAAAAAAAGAGTGCTGTGCAACCATTAATCGCGATTAATTACATCCAAAATAAAAGTTTGTATTTACATAATATATACGTATATATATATATATATACACACACATAAACATTTATATATTTTTAAGAATTTATATAAATAAAAGATATAAAAATGATGCATACATATTTATACAGTATATCAATATATTTCTTGAATAATTTCTTGAATGCATGTGTATTTATATATAGAAAATAATTATACACAGTGCACGTATATTTTTAAGAATTGTAATATATATATATATATAATATAAATAATATATATTATAAATTATGCGTACATTATACAGCATATCCACATATTTCTTGAATGTATACATGCATATGTGTGTATTTACATATAGAATATTATTATACACAGTACACGTATATTTTCAAGAATTGTTATATATATATATATATATGAAGAGTTCAGATGCAAAAGCCTCTAAATGCCATTTGAAATTTTCTTCTTTAATGATGATTTTTATCAAGCTTGTATATTTAAGTTCAGTAATTTCACTTACATGGCAATGATAATTACCAATTAATTGTTATTTAAGTGAAATTACTGAACTTAAATATACAAGTTTGATAAAAATCATCATTAAAGAAGAAAATTTCAAATGGCATTTAGAGGCTTTTGCATCTGAACTCTTCATATATATATAAAATATATATATATATATATATATATATTATAAATTATGCATACATAATTATACAGTATATCCATATATTTTTTGAATATATACATGCATATGTGTGTATTTATATTTATATATAGAAAATTATTATACACAGTACACACATATTACATAAACACTAACTTTTATTTGGGATGCGATTAATCGCGACCCAGCACAAAAAATAAAAACAAATAAATAATGCAAAAGAAAGTGCATCAAATAAAACAGGTTGATTTTGAAATCACGTCGACTCTAAAATGAAAACACCCTCATGTCTGAATGTGTATTCGGCATCACTTAGAAAGTGAAAGAAGAACCAGAAAGCTGAACTAAAGAGGATGACGAGAGAAGCACAGGCGTGAGTTGCTGTCGGGACTCTCGGCTCCGGGCTGAACTCGGCTGATAGAGCAACTGGCGCTCGCAACGCCAAGGTCATGGATCTGATTCCCAGGGAATGCCTGAACCGATAAAATGAATTCAATGCCAGTTGAAATTGCGAGAAATGTTAAATAAATAAATTGTGAGATAAGCAAAAGGCTTTCATTTGACATTTTTGTAAAACAATTTAGATTTTTGTATGGCTTTCTGAGAATTGTATGATAATTTTCTCTATGATTCTTTACCACTGTTGCAAAAAAAATGTAAAAATATTTCAGGGGAGGGAAAATGTTCAATAAATCAATAAAATGTTCCCAAATGAGCCAAGAAATGATGTGTAATAATTTTTTTCCATGTGCCCAGCAAAAATCATGCAATATAAAGAAAATTCTGTATACCGATATATGACTGTGTCAACACAGCCTGAACATATATGATCCACACAGAGAGAGAGAGAGACCACCAAACGCAACAGAAACACACTCAAACAGCCTCTCGAGTCACACAGCGTTTGCTCTAGAAACAAGAGCTAAATTAATACAGAACCTCAGAGGGAGAGACAGAGAGGTTCAACAAAAACAACGTTTGCTTCCTGGCTCGGTTTCTCATCTGCGGTCTGAAACACACCATTAGCGGTTCTGCGCTCGTTTTCTTTTAGTTTCCCTCCAAGTTTGGCGTACACTCGCCCTGCTCAAAGTCCTGCTCTGCGGTTAACACAAGATTGAGTTTTCCAAACAACTGACACGCCAAGCCAAGAAAATAAATCATGGACGTTTTTTTTCTTATAAGCCATCGTTTTTCTGAAACTATCATTTAAATCATCTCGAAACTACATCATAATCTGGGCTGACGACAGGCTTTACTTATCAAGTACAGTTGTGTGAAATGAATACCTCTACAGGAAAGGAACACGATCTGCCACTCCTGAGCGCAACGGCGACCCGAGCGAGAGTGACACCTGAGAGGACGCTTGTAAAAGAAGCTTTCCTTGCCAATGGAGGAGAACTAGGGGGATCCCACTCGGGTCTGGACCGCACCAGGCAACCTCAAGACGGGTAACGTTTCAGCTGCGCAAATGATCTCTCCAAACCCTTTGAGGAGGACGAGGAAACAAAGCAGTCTGGGAAGGAAGACTGGAGGAAAGAAATCTGCAAAATTAGGATCTGACAGGGAAGTGTGGCTACTTTTTAAATAACACTACATAGACTTCACTGTATATATTAAATATCAGGGCTGTCAGTTTAACGCGTTATTAACGGCGTTAACGCAAACCCATTTTAACGGCGTTAATTTTTTTATCGTGCGATTAACGGTCTTTTTGTCCAGGCAAACTTTGTAGTGTTTTCACATGCTTTTGCAACAGGACGAGGCTTGCGTCCTGATCCATTTCGGCGTCTCGCGCTCGCGCTCGGCTCACAAGCCGAAACGTGTGTTTGCGGCGTGGCTGTTGTTTTGTTTACGGTCTAGATCCGCTTGCGCTTTGGTCGAAGAAGCAACAAAACGTCCTCGCGCGGCACAAGCCATTGAAATGAAAGGGTTTCAGAGCGTAGCGCGAGGACGTTTTGTGCCGCACACACTTGTTTCGGCTTGCGAGCCGGCCAAATAGTAACGTTGCGTTTTGAGAGGATGACGAGCGCGAGACGCCAAAATCGATGCCCTAAGATTCTGAATGGAAAGTTTACTTTTAAAAAGTTGCCAAATTGTCCCATTGACAAGACCAAGTGATCTGTGTTTTGTCGTTGTGAACTGAGCGATCATCATCGCAGCACGTCCGAAACACCACTTGATGATGGCCAAGCAAACACACACACACACACACACACACACAGATGATGCGAATTCTCCACCCCCTCGTCAATATCAGGACCTCGTCAGTATTTCTTTCACCCTTTTATTGATAGACAGTGTTACATTGTGTGAGAGATTATTTATATATGTTAGTGTGAAATTGAGCACTATTTCAATGTTATTTTCAATAATAATAATAATTTAAAAAAAACAAGCCACTAAACAAGCTAATCGACTTTTCCATGTTGATAAGAGCATTAAAATAAGAAAAAAAATTATGTAACAAAAAGAAATCAAAAGACATTTAGAAAATATAAAAATGTGCGATTAATCGCGAGTTAACTATGACATTAATGCGATTAATCGCGATTAAATATTTTAATCGTTTGACAGCACTATTAAATATAGATTAATCGTTATTCAGTCGAGCAGTGTCACTTAACGTTCGAAAAACAATTGCACAATCGATCGGACCAACCAACACAAGTGTCGAAAACAAAAATAGGGAATCGATTTAACGCCTTTCTTTATTTTTACTAAAAATGTGTTTTAGATGGACTGATCAATACATAAACGGGACATGTAGGATGTTGTAAAATAATGTCTTTTCTGTTAACCAAATGCTGTTTAATATTCGCTATTACTTCAGTGCTAGTGAACAAGCGTGCCGTTATTTGTTGTGCAGTGACATGTGTTCAAGTACGTCAGAAATGAGCCGATTCTGCAAAACACGCTGTTTTTAATATATCATGAGGATCACGAGTTGCGTATTTGCACAGATTCGGCTTACAGGAACTTTCCTAGCAAAGTGATTAAACATAGAAACACCAGATTGGCTCGTGATTTGACAGCGTTTCCCGCCAAAGTTCATTTTTTATCCGCATTTGGCGAGTCGAGGGTGCTAATCTCAATCCTGAATGTTGCGCTCC